CCCCCCCATTTTCACTGCTTTCCTCAGTCTTGAAAGGGCAGGTCTCAGTCCTCTGGGCTGTTCAAAGCCTGGAGGGCGAGGAATGTCTCCTTAGTCCATGAAGTGTTGTGTATGGGCCACTGGTGCTGGTGGGGAAGAGGTGGAGAAGGAGAGTGGGATGCTTGGAAGAGTATGGGCCACCCTGTTGAAGGTTGGTAGATGTGTGGTGTGGCCTGGCTCTTTCTGAGCTTCGACTCCAGATGTGTTTAGCAGAGCTCTACTGGTTGACTGTGGCATCTCCCGATTTCATAACAGGTCTTCACCATTATACCCCTTTCACTGATCAGGAAACTGAGGCAAGGAGCAGAACAACCCCTTCTCTATGAGTAGTTTGGAATCAGCACTGCTCATTGTGATCAGTAATTCCCCAACTTCTGGATCTCTGTGCTAAGGAGTCTCATGTGAGGCTGGTAAGGTATCCCTGTAGCATATTGACCTCTTCCTCCACTTCCCTGCACACCCAGGTGGCCACACCAGGGATGAGTTTGGTTCATGTCAGCATGGCTCCCTGACAAGCTTGCCACCAGGCATTGGGAACCTGAGGTGTCTCACCCACCTGGATCTCAGCTTCAACAGCCTCTCCACCTTGCCCAGCTGCATCCTCCATCTCCCCAGCCTCCGTGTGCTCCTGGTTAGTCACAACAGCCTGGTGGCGCTCCCTGAGGACTTCGGCTCTCTGAGCAAGCTGACTTTCTTCTCTGCTATGAAAAATAAGCTGAAGGACTTACCTCAGAGCATTGGGGAGCTGGCAGCGCTGCAAGACCTGGACCTCTCGGAAAATGCTTTGGAATTCCTCCCTGAAGAAGTTGGGAATCTGCAAAACTGCACAGAGCTGGATCTCTCTGGGAATCGCTTATCAAGCATCCCAGACTCCTTAGGTAAGTATTTTCTAGGGGAAAAAAAGAACATGGGCTTGCTGAGCTTTTGGTACAGTCTAGGACCCCTGAGGCCCTTGGTCTCTGTCCCCAGAGTTGTTAGCACAAACCATCTGTTACATTAGACCCAAATGGAAGGGATATCCAGAAGAAACACGCTTGGTTCAGTCAATCCCTTTGAGCATTAACGACTCTCTGGCCCATGCTTTCTGCTTCTGTGGATCAGCAAGACTGCTAAGATTTCAATATAATTTACAGTAGCCAAGGATCTGGCCTGGCTGGTTTTGGGTAACACCCAGGACTGGAAACAGAAGAGCTGGGGTTTAATGGGATGCAAATCTGGGCTTAAAATCATGCTGTCTGGTGTGGACCAGTCCGCGGAACCAGCTTCTGACTTCTGGTGCCTAGCTTCCTGGCTCTTGGGTCCTGTATTACTTTGTGCCCAGGGTTGTCATTGATGCTGGTATGGAAGCATCTTACATCCATACTCGTATCTGGGTGCCAAAAAGCAGAGGACAGAGGGGGCTGCATTGCCTCTCAGCTAATTCCCTGGGCCCCTTTATTTTGTGAGCTAAAGAGATGTTGGGCTCTTATGTTTTTCCCTTATTGTGTATGTGCATACATGTGATGAGGAGAGCAACGGGGGGGTGGGGGGTGGTGGTGTTAGAGCTGAAGGCACAATGCAATTAACAGCGTGCATGGGGGGTCACTTCTTGTTCTAACCTGCAGCCAATTTGAAGTCTCTGCGGCGGCTGCATCTCCACAGCAATCTCCTGGTGACAGTCCCTGCCTCGCTTGCCAGCCTGCCCAACTTGTCCAGGCTTGATCTGCAGAACAATTGCCTCCGTGCCGTCCCCCCCGAGATCCAGACCTCGCCATTCGTGCACCTCCGAGGCAATCCCTTAGGAGAAACTGAACCATCCCCGCAGCCTGGTAATTGCAAGGCTTCTGCTGCTGTGGGTTCTGCCCAGCTGTTCCCTCACTCAGCCCAGCATGGTGTGGATGGGTTTGGATTAGAGAAGACAAGCAGGGGGGAATCAGACCAGTATTTATTTGTCTGGAATAATTATTAGGTTGTAAGGATACAGACAGTACTAGTTCTGTTTTTATGAGCCCAAGTGCAGTCTGAAGGGCTCAGTAGTCCCTGGAATTGGGCTTGCTAGGAAAGGTATTACAGTGGAAGTGAAAATGGGAAACAGATCAGGAGAGGCCCCTAAAGGGGTCCAGCCTTTTTAGCAGAGGTGAGCACCAGTTCTTGGACTTGCTGCATGGCCCTAAAGCTGTGGTGCCTCATGCGAGAACCACAGAGAGCAGTAAGAAGTCATTCTGCTGTGAAGTTACCTCCTGCTTTCCTGTGGTTCCCAGCCTGCAGAGGAGCTGCTCTTCATCCAAGATGAAGGTGATGACTGAGCAGGAGTCTGAGCAGGGTTTCCCAGTGCTGCTCACGTTCACAAGAGCAATCGCTGATTCCCAGAGGTGGCCTCAGGCAATGAAACATGGCCCTGAGATCTGCAGGGAGGGTAGATTGAAATATTTTCTAATTCCCCCTGCTTCTGAGTTTTCCTGGTGGAGAGTCAGCATTTCCAGTGTGTCTTGGGACACCTAGGCATCTTCCCATCCTCCTGCTGCTGCTTGATCTGAAGGCTGCTGCAGTGTGACCAGGGTTCCATTAGCGACTTCTCTCAGATGAGGATTAAGCCAAAACTGAAATGCAAGTTCAGCCTTTCTTGTCTACCCTGATTTAAGTAACCTCTGTCTCCTCCTCCCACCTAAACCATCTTATTGCTGCAGATGCCGGAGGGCTACGAAGACTCTTCCTTGCATCAGGAGAGGACAGGTAAGCCTCTGTTATTAAGAACTTACTTATATTACAGTGGTGTAATAAGGTCCCAGACAAGATTGGTGTGTGGTGGGTATTGCATGTGTGTCTAGGAGCTTTTGGCCTCAGTAGGCCAGTCAAACACAAGGTAGGATTTTCTTCTGTTTGGAGGGCTGAAGTCATTGCACCATGTCATACATTTATGCATTTCTCCTGGAAGCTTTACTGTCACCTCTGAAGGCTGCAAAGTGGTCCTGGCCTGTGGCATCCATTTCTACTTTCCACCGGGGGCTGCCTCTGACCCTCTGCGGATCTACTTCCGAACACTTGCACCGGACCCTCAGTGGGTAAAGCTGAGACACCATGATGTCCTGCTGAGTAGAGTCCTGGAGCTGCAGCCTCATGGGGTCAAATTCCAGCAGGTGAGGACACGTGCAGGCCACCTCCTGATCAATCTGCCTCTGCAGTAGCTCGTCAGAGTTTTCTGAGAGAGTCTGTTGGGACTTTTGAGACAGGTATCCTCATCACTGCTGCTTTTAAGTAGCTGCACGACTGCCTTTCAAAGAAACCCCGCTGCAAAGTCTCAGAAAGGGCACAGACAGCTTCTCTGGCACTGGTCTGGCTCCTTTGCCTTCCCCACTGCTCCTGCTTGAGCTGAGCTACAGCCTTCCTCACTCACAACCCTCTTCGTGTGCCAGAGGATAAGTGCAGTTTCAGTATTTGGCCTTAGCTTGCAAGGAGAATGGTTTGCATCCTTCCCTAAAAGTCTGACTGTGTGGTTTTCATTCAAGCTGGTGAGTACTTATACCACCAGCCCCATCGTGGCTGACTGCAAAAGTTGCTTTGCCCTTTCTGCCCACAAGTCACTGAACTTCCTGCCACTGCACTACATAGTGGACCTGACATCTCCTGTCACCTCCCTGGAGGCTGCAGGAGAGAGCAGGTTCCTATCTCCTCCTCCACTCCCTGCATACAGGCCGTGCTTCGCACTCCCCTTTCTTGTCTGCACAGGAAGCCACAGAGCAGAGCTAGGCTTGGTTTTATCCTTTCTATTGGTGTCTCACGGGAATGCTTTTTTGCCAGGAAGTGCAGATCTGGATGCCATATGCCTCCCCTCAAACCCTTCACCAGCGTGAGGTTGTAGTTCGGACCTTCAGTGGGCAGAGCTGGAGTGATCTGAGAACAAGAGTGGAGCAGAAGAGAAAATCAAAGGTAAGCAAATGGGAATGACCAGTGACACACATTGTTCCTTTTCCCCTCTTTGGTTTTGCCCAGCCAAGAGTGAGCCCATTTGAAACATCTCATAAGCTGTGTTTTGACCAACTGCTATAAAATGTAGTGGATTTCAGCTCCAGGTTTTCTCTCTCATGGAGGTGTGTCTTCTGAAGGTGATGAGCTGCAGACTGCCATGCTTCATCCCTGCTCTAGTGCTTCCATCTGCTAAGCTGTTACTGGCACTTATTTTCCTGCCTTTATTGTATTATGTGCCTATATGTTTTCTCTTCTTCCCTGTCTTCTGTTACAGAAGCACATGGCTCACTGTAGTGTCCTCCACTTCTCTTGGTTCCTTGTTGTGTCTCGACTTGTGCAAAATGAATGCGAAGTGCCAGCAGAGGGGACATTGCTCTTTTCCAGTGTGGATCCAAACATCAAAGTGACCTTTCCTCCTGGAGTCACTGAAGAGACTCGCAGTGTCAAGCTGCAGGTATGCATGCTTTAAAAAACAAGCTCTGGTAAGCCCTAGTGCAGCTATTGTCCCATGCCAAGTAGGGGACCCGAAGGCATGATGTCCGCCCTAGGTTAATTCATGTCTGATGGGCTGACCCATCTCAGATCACCTTCTGTCTTCGCTTCCCTGCCTGCAAAACGGGCTGTGCTCCAGGCTGCCCTGTGTGGGAAAAGGATCTCGTCGCAGCTCTGCCAGGAGATCTCCCTCCGGCAGATGAGCAGGTAGCTGCTCTGAAGGGAACACAAGGAGATTTTGTCTCTTGTTCCCTTGCAAAATGTACTGAGCCTGGCAGAACAGCTCAATGAGTGAGACTGGGGGTGGGGATTATTTATGTGGATCCAATTCTAAAGTCACCCCACTAAAATTAATTTTCCTGTAGAGTTGCTAGATAGCGCTAAATGCTATTGTAATACTTTGGTCTGTCCCAGCTTGTCAGGTTTATGCCAGTATTAGAGCAGACTTCAGCCAAAGTTCACTTGTGCTTCCATTTCTCACTGAGCCAAGAGCAGCATTTGCTTGCTGGATGCTGGGGGAACTGAGTGATGCAGAAATTTGGGTGCCTGATTGCACTGCTCACTGTATTGTCTTCCATGTCCAGGTGCTGCCGGTCTCTGCAGAAGAGATAGAGGAAATCACAGCTGATGCAGGGTGCAGAGCCAGTCCGCTGCTCTGCCTCTCCCAGGACTCCCTGGTGGATTTTCTCAGGCCAGTGAGAATTCAGCTGCCCCTCCCGCCCGGGGTTACAGGTCAGTTTATTCCCAAAATTGGCAAAAGGAAACGCCATATGTGGAAAACCACGAATGACAAGCTGGGAATTTTGTTTGCCTCTCCTGTTAATAATAAAGCTTGCTGCTTTTCCTGCAGGAACAGCAAGGTGTGTCTGCTTAGTGAGTGGTGGTGCAGGGTGGTAGAAGCTGAAGGTAGTTCAGGTCCAGCAGAGCAGCGCTGGGCTTCACAGACCAGCAGCATAAGCTGGGAGAACAGCCTTGGCAAATGGATTTCTCTGCTGAACTGCATATGTATTTAGACTGCTGGGTTTGGTATGACGGATTGGAAAGGCACTCCTGACAGCTGAGGAGATGCTTTGTAAAAGGGCTTTGATTCATGATTGGGAATAGCTTGAAACAGGTAATGAAGGTGCTGCCTCCGCTGGTCTGCCTTTTCTCTTCCTTGCTCATGAATCAGGTGCTGAGCCACTGCAGTTAAAAGTGTACAATCATACACTAAGCCATCTCCCACTCTGAATATTGCTATAAACAGCTGCAGCCTTGCCAGGGATTCCTCTGTTTGCATGCTGAGTACCCTGTGTCTCCTAATTCCTATTTTCTTTGACCTTTCCTCGCTTTCTTGTGAAGAAGTAAAATCTTACTGGTGGTGGTTTGGCTTTCATTGTAACACTACCTGGTATTTGTACGTCTGAAGTGCATCAGGATTGAAAAGTCTGTGGCATGTAAGTTTAGAAAGAGATAGAGCTTAATTAATTAACATAGATATTGGTGATAGGAATTGTCTAATGAATCTGTTGGTGGAAGTCAGCACACTATCAGTTTAAGTCTGCATATTCTGCCAGAATACCCTGGAAGCATTGGGGTAGCCTCATCCTTTTATTGCTGCTCTTCTTTGACCGAAGTTCAGTCCTGGATGCTGAAGAAAAGGGCATGAGCCTTCATTTGGTGCTTTTAAAAAGTGAATCACCCAAAACTGTGGCTGGGTTTGTATAGTCATGAATAAAGGCTTCTGCTGCATATACTATCTCTTGATGGTTATTGTCTTTAGGGCTAAATTTGGATCGGTCAAGGCTGCATCTTCTCCATGGTGACCTGGAGGGCCAAACCTGGGATGACATTACCAGTCAGGTGGTGCTGGAATTCACCCATCTTTATGCAGTGTTTGAAGTCACCCACTTCTCCTGGTAAGTCCAGGATTAGTCCTGAGTAAAAGATGGGATGTTCCTCTGCCTTGTTTTTCCCACACTCTGACCAGGAGTCGTGCCATTAACCCTAACTGTTCCCTTTTCCCCTTGCAAGTCAGGCCCAACTTAGCACTTTGTCTCTACCCATCATTTTTTGCAGTCTTGTAGGGGTGACACTGGCTTCTCTTCCTAGGCAGGATCCCTCCCTTTTCTTAATTCCTTGTCTGCCAGGTACTGGCTGTGGTACACCACCAAAACCTACATTGGAGGCATTGCCAAGAAAGTCTATGAGCGGCTGCGTATGTACCAGGTGAACTTCATTGCTCTGCAGAGGAAGAAGGACCCCGAGCAAGTCCTGCTACAGTGTGTCCCCAAACACAAGGTCTGATCTGGGTTGCATTGCCTTGCTCCTGAGCTTCCTGGGGCTCCCTTTGTAGGATGTAAGGGCTGAAGTGCACCAAAAGGTCCTGTTCACTGCCCCAGGGTCATGGCTGGGGAATGCTGTCACCACACTGTGTTGGTAGTGTGATACTGGCTCACTGGGAGCTGGGGGAAGAAGGAAAACTCATTCTGTGCAGTGGTGGATGCCATGCAGTAATTTCCTCCCCTGTGAACCTCGAGGACTGGGCTTTTAAAATCAGCTGAGCTACAGTAACTGGCCATGTGCATGATGTTACCGTCCAGCAAACATGAAGCAAAACATGTTGGCTTAAACTTTAGTCAAAGATGTTAAAGTTAACACATCACTTGTCTGACACGGGCTAGTAGCATGGGCAGAAGCACTGCTTTGGTTTCAGCTGGAGTGGTTAGAAATAGTACTCTTCCTCATGTTCCTTGCTGTTTACAGTTCAAGCAGTGGAACAGCACATATGAGCCCTCCTTAACCTGCTTCAGTGCAACATCAGGTTAGTTTATGCTATTTGAGCTAATATGGCTGACTTTGTATGGGAGGCGATGGGAAGCGCTCAGGCATTCTCTTCTGCTGCCTCTGCCCTAGGGTTATCAGCCCTCAGCTTCAGATGGTAGCAAAGTGTGCATCTGTGTTTGTAGAGCACGTACCTTGACAGCCAGTGCATCTTAGTGAGGTGAGGGTTGTTTTATCAGGCTGCCAGAACTGGGCTGTGTATCCAACCGATGGGAAGCGCTCAGGCATTCTCTTCTGCTGCCTTGCCCTAGGGTTACCAGCCCTCAGCTTCAGATGGTAGCAAAGTAAGTGTGCATCTGTGTTTGTAGAGCACGTACCTTGACAGCCAGTGCATCTTAGTGAGGTGAGGGTTGTTTTATCAGGCTGCCAGAACTGGGCTGTGTATCCAACTCTCTGCATAATCCTCTAGTCTGGTTGCTCCTTTTTTCCTTTATTTGTTCTCCTGTGTTGAAATGACCTGTGGGCATAAACATCTGTAAGTATTCTTTGTATCTTGGGTTCTGGGCTAAAATAATTTCCAGAGGAGGCAGCAATGGCACTCCCAGTGAGGTCGGGGTTCAGGGGTGTCTTTATTCCTCCCAGGGATGGTCATGGGGTGAGAGAAGATTTACTGTTAGGAACAGAAAGAAGAGTAGACACCTCAGCTCTAGGCTGACTCATGCACTGCCTCTGAGACCCCAGGTCTGACACTGTGATCACAGGCTGCAAAGCCAAAATGAGCTTCCTGGTGTCCTCAGCTGTGTGCTATTGTAGCATGCGGCTTTTTGCAGAGGAAATGTCTTTTAATGGCATACTGTGAAGGAGATAAGGCAGCAAGTAAATCCCTCCTTGTCTTTGAAGGTTACTGACCTGTTAAAAAGATAGAGACATTGCTGGAAATACTTTTTTAATGGAAGCTTTGGGATGGCCTATCTTTGTTAGTCCACATAGGCTTTTCTGCTCTTTACTTGAGAAGAGAAATAGGGAAGCCACAAAATCCAGAGCACCACTTACTTGTCTGTAGTGAATATACCTGGGATAGGAGGGGGTGGGTGTTTGTTCATTTGTTTACATCCTTTCCATGTAAAGTGGACTTTCCCTGTTGAAGGTGAGTGAGAGGAACATCATGAGCATAGGGACATAGGTCAGGGGAGAGACGTGCTTCAGACCAAACACAGGGTCCTGTGTTGTCATTCTTGTCAGGTTGACCCAGTGCTGAAGAAGCTGCAGGACCGCTATCGAGGACCTGAGCCATCTGACATGGTGGAGATGTTTGAGGGAGAGCAATTTTTTGCAGCTTTTGAGCGAGGCATCAGCATCGATATGGGTATGGTAGTACCGGGCTCCTTTCTGCTCCTACCTCTTGTGCTTGTCTAGCTCTAGGCATGTTTCTGCTGGGGGCTGTACTCCTCCATGGCATTCCTTTCTTTCTCCAGCTCACCCACTACTCACAGCAGCCAGCCTATGGACATTGAACTTGTCACATTCTCTGGTCACCCAACTTTTGTGTCTGCTTTTCCCTACGAAATTGCTGTTTGCAGGCTTTCATTTCCTCTCATGCTGTTGTAGCCTGCAGAGGGCAATAGCCAAGTGTGTTTATTTTATGACTGATCTTCTGCAGCCAGCTATGCCCTTTTCCTAGTGTCTTAGGCACCACACTGGAATGCCCATGGTGACCTAATTAACATTACCCATTTCTGAGAGAACACATATAAAGGTATTTTTTTTTGAGAAGATATCTCTGAAATAATCCAGAGCAAAGAATTCCCTCTAATGGAGACATTAGAAGAGAAGGAAAGAGGGAGCAGGACCAAAACTCAAGATGATGTTTTATTCCTCAGTGTGTCTGCACCTGTTACAGCTGCAAACTGAGCCATTTTCTGCAAAACCTGAACGTACAGCTAGGTTTCATTGGTGTAAATTAAGTGAAACCCTGTGTAGAATAATGAAGTGCACTGGTCTTTCAGTGGAGTTTATAAGGCCAGAGTCTATCCCTCTGTCCTGATTTAGGCTGGACTCTAACTTAATTTCTAGATAATTACGTCTATGAATGTTGTACCTGATTCTATTTTTTTCCCTTTGTCTCTACTCCTATTTCTGCACCAACTGCAGAAATGTTGAAGAGATAGGTGACCTATTTTTGTGCATTACAGGCTGCTATTGCAGCTGATTCTACCCTCCAAGGGGTAGGTAGAATGGACCAAGGATGAGAAGGAAGTGCCAAGGATGGACTTGACTCCATCTGAATGTTTTGCCCTGCCTTGCCTTCCGTTCTTGAACTTGATCTCCACCTTGTGGCCAATTCTCCTTTTTCACCTGTAGGACCTGCTTTCTCCACAGCCAATGTTTTCTGCTTTACGGTGTCACGCAGCGAGGAAGGGGGGTTACAGTTCTTTCACGCATTAGTAGAAGGAGTAGGTAGTAGCATGAAAGCTACTGGTGGATGCTGAGCTGTTGGCCAAGCTTGAAAAGGTGCACACTTTTCTGCACAAGTTGAGTGTTTGCTGCTCCTTTGCACAGATCGTCCTGACTGCGTGGATGGACGTCTCTCATTCATTTTTTACTCCCACTTGAAGAACATGAAGGAAATCTATGTGACCTCCCCTGTAGACAGGAAGGGCCAAGCTGTAAAAGGCCAGGTGAGCAGCCAGTTACATTGACTTTGTTTTCTCCTTCATCATCATCATCACTGCTTTTACAATGTTCCTCATAATAATCTCCGAGTGCGGGACATGACTCTTTTCCTCCCCTCTTTCTCTTGGCTTTGCATTTCACTGACTAAACCTTGAATAAACAAGAAGAGTAGTCTGGAAGGACCATTCATCACTTAGCTCTCTGACTTACATTCCTGCCATTAACTCTTGGGAGGTTGGCAGTGAGCCCAGCATTTATGACAGAACCTCAGTGCTCCTCCCAGTTGCACTTAATTGGGATGCCATATTTATGGACTGAGGATAGGTGAGAAATGCTGAATTCATTCTTTCCCAGATGGAAAAGACATGGTGCAAACAGGCTTGGCCACTGTGCTTGAATCTGAGCCTCACTGCATGCTTTCTGTTTGCAAAGGTCTCTTTCTACCGAGGGGCAGTTCCTGAGAGCATCCCTGAAGATGCCAGCAGGAGGAGGAAAGGACCAGACTCCCTCTGGCTTGCTACTCTGCCCATCAAACTGCCTGTGAGTTGTTTTGGCTCCTACAGAAAAATTAATCTAAGATATGGTAAGATCATGGCCTTCCTGCTCAGCTAATCTTGTCTTGCTCCATGAGAACAGATGCAATGCACAACTGCAAGAAATGGCTGCCCAACCATGTCATGGTGGAGACTTCCCACTCCCCATGAGCTCTTCTGAAAAGAGAAACATGAATAGCTGGGAGAGGTCTCCATCTCTCTTGCTCATCTTGCCTGTCAAGCACAGGCTTGTTGGTTGGGTGGTCAGAGAGGGTGGATCCTTTGGATGAATGAGGGATGTAGAACAGGAGGAAGCTCACTGTAATTAAAGGAAGTGTCTGTTTTGTTTATACATTCCTTAGTCATACAGCTCACACAGCAGGAAAAAAGAAAGGTCTAAGATGAAGTAGTTAGGCTGGATTTGAATACAGGTGTTGAGTGTAAGTATTCTCCTGTGAGCCACTGGCCTTTAAAGGCTAGGCTGTATGTTGTGAGAAATGCAACTTTTGCTTATGGAATTTAATTGATTTTTGAGAAGCTCAAAACAATGAATACCTTTGTAGGCTGACTGCTTCCCTTCAGATCATGGCACATGCCACAATATCACATCCCTTTCTGACACATGCAACCTCAACTACGAATCTAGACTAAGTGCTCTCTTACTGCTGAGGCAAATATGCTTTGGGAAGATGGTTCATTGAAAAATGTTCTGTAAAGATAAGAAAGGAAATTTCTAGTGTGAGCTATGACTGTGAACACTACAATTTGATATTTTTCAGAGGCAGTGAGCATTGCTGGTCATTGCCAGTGTGAGTGCTCCTTGCTTTTTACAGCCTGACTCTTCAGCCCCAAGATCTTCCTTCCTCCCCAGTAGGAGGAAGGAAATTTCAGTGTGGAGACTGAATGGCCAGACACTGTCCTCTACAAAAACAATTGGTTTAGCATGTTCTCTCTCTCTCTTCTCTGTGACACAGCGACTGAAACCCCGCTGGGGTGAGAACCCTGGTCCCCTGAATGGCTTCTCCTTCCCTCCCTTGAACCTGGGCAATGCCGAGACTGGCTACCTGACACAGGCAAACCTGCTGAGCATTGCCAGGCGTGTGGGAGCTGACTGGCAGACCATCGGCCTGAACCTGGGCTTGACCTATCAGCAGATTGAGCGCATAGGATACAATAACAGGTAAGATAGGACACAGTGGTCAACAGTGATGCATTCTTTCTATCTATCTATCTATCTATCTGCAGTGTAATAGTATAAATTAATGCTTGGCTGGTTGAAAGTTTTCCTACTGGAATTGTTCCACTGGATAAAAGATGAGTTGACTAATAGTCCTTCTCAAAACATTGCCTTTTTTGTGGAAAACTGATTATTTTCTCTTGCCTTTATAAAACAAAGCTTTATGTTTGAAAAACAAAATTGGGAAATAACAAACCTGATGAGCTTTGTAGTTCAGATGAGTCAGATTCCTGTTTTGTTCAGTGATCTGAATTCCTGGCCAGACTCCATCTTTGACAATAAGCAGTCGTCTATGGCATTAATTGTGAATATCTTTATTCAAAAAGAGCTTGTGGTACGTCATGGGACATGCAGTCTGACCAAAAAGCCAGAGCAGTAGGAGAGAATGAGACTTGTTATCACCAAATTACTGTTCCTGTGGGGAATTTACATTCAAAAGCAGAATGCTTTAATTTGATATTCCACTAGGAAAAAAATTTCTAGAGAGATTTTAGTGCAGGAACTGCAACTGCTGTATGATGGGTGGGGAAAAAGGCAGGCCCACTGAGTGCTTTGTGTGTCTGGATGGCTTCTTTGGGGCTCCAGTCTTGGGCTAGAGCTCAGGTAAGGCCTCTTTGGGTTGCCAGTCAGGAGAGTGTGTGTTGATTACTTCTGTGCTTCCCCCTTTCTTCAGAGAGGACCTTGATAAGCAGATCCTGGACATGCTTTTCTCATGGGCTCGGCAAAACTCAGAGGATCCTGACTGTGTGAGCAAGTTGATCACAGCCATGAAGGACAGCGGCCGCCAGGACATCGCAGATGAGGTCGAAACCATCATTGAGCTGGGACGGCAGAAATACAGGGAGTCCATCCGCCGGGTGGGCTTGGAGCAGGAGAGCAGCACTGAGGACTCTGCAATAGCTATGATGTAGCACCTACCAGAAAGAACTGGATTTCATATCGTGTCTGAAACATGGAGAAATTCAGAGACTGAAGTGTCTGTCAGTTGAGTAGTGGCTAAAGTAGCCTTTAATGAATTAATACTCATGTTACCTATATTTATTTATAACTTATTCCTGAAACTGTGCTCTGCTGGAAACACTGGGTGTGAGCATTTGGGTCTGTTTGTGCTCCAGTGCTTGATGGGAAAGTGGAGGTGCAGTCGTGTTAATGAAGGCCCATGGTACGATGGGGACCGTTCAGCTATTTCTGTTAATGATGTGTTTTGCTCACATGAAAATGTGAACTGTATTCCCCATGCAAATGTTTTCTATTTTCTGCCAAACCTCTTCCAGTTCCCTCAAGCCCAAAACAAAACCTAAGTATTTGTGGGGAAAAGAGAAGAAACTAATTTCTAGCAAAATTGCCCATTTTTTGGTTTTGCTCCAAAAGCTATTTTGGAACAAGTAAAATTTCACATTTTCCCTAGGCTGCTGCACCTTTTTAGATGAGACCTACATGCTGCTGGTCTTTGACAGAGTTCCAGTTTTATTTTACAAATAAGTAAAAATCCATAACCCTGCTGTTCTGGGAGGGACTCTAAATTAAGTGAAAGTAAAATTTCCCTTGCAGTTTCAAAGGGATATTCCTTACACCCTCCTAGTGAAATATGCCCATGTAGTAGTGAAGGTGTGACCCCTCCTGAAGTTTGGTGAAAAGCATGACTTAAATTTGCATTTTAAAAACTGGTCTGACCAGCTGTAAAATAAGCACTGTTGTGGGACTGGCATGAACTGTGCTGAGCTAACCTCCCAGTTTTGCAGTCTGAACATCTTATATAAGGCTGGAAGTGTTTATTGCTTTTTAATTGCTCAGTCATTGACTACTGAGGTGCCCTTCTCTTCCTGTTCCTCATCTCATAATGGGCCTCAGCTAACGACCCACTAATGGCAGTGGGAAGTTTCATGCAAGCTTTTTGAGAAACTAGTGTCATTATGTAAATTCCACTCAGGTTTGAGTTATGTAAATTCAAGACAGGTTTAGATTCAGCATATCCCACTTTCTAAGCAGTATTTAAAGGGCTGTTCTCAGTCTGAAAAGCAAAAGTCTGTACAAAAATGCCAGGTTGCAACACCCAAAGTCAACCTGCAGCTGCAGGTCTGAGAAATCCTAGTGTTTTCTTCCCCCTGTGAAGAATCATCAGTGGTTTTACTGATGCTGTATTTCAGACCTGCCATCAGTACCATTGAAAGAGAGGCATAACATTGTTCTGCTCTTTTTTTTTTAAAGGCCATTCTAACATCTCAGCCTACGGAGTGATTAGTGTTCAGTCCAGAGCAATGGACGAGGACTTGCAGACTTGAGTTGTTGCCTTGGGCCTAGGGACTTCCTCAGATCTGATTTCTTAGGCCATGCTGTCCCTCAAGTCTCATGTGGGGTTCAAGTCAGCAGTTCTCTTTTGAATGTACATTTTCTCTGGTAGTCTGTGTCCTATGTTCTTGTCTGTAATTTTGATGTATACCAATGAGGTATTTGTTCATTCCTCCAGTTTTGGAGAGATGCATTTGGGCATATTGCTCTCACTGGGAATAAAATAAGCACTTAACTGTTTCACAGCATGGTCTGCTAAACCATAAACGCCTCGAGGTGTTAGACAGAGACAGGTCCCTTTAAACCTGCTGGCAGAAAGACACAAGTGAGCTTGGCCATGCTGCACAGAAACGGGAGAAGAGCTCTTGTTTGGATACTGCTGGCTGCAAAGCACAGGACAGACTGCAGCTGAGTTAATGGTGTCCCTGTAGCTTGGCTTTGCTGCAGTGGGGCTAAGCTGGGAAACACAACATTTGGAGCATGGGTTTGACTAGCTGAGCATATGACTAGGGCTCAGGCGGAGCAGGTCTAGGGGGCAACAAGGCTAGTCTAGAGGGGACAGTGTGTAGACTTAGCCTAGCCTCTGGTGAAGGTCAGGAGGCTTTTGGCTAGGCAAAGCTAGGCTAAGGAAGTCTATAGGTAGCATAAGGTAGCATCCACAGCTACAACGCCACAAAGCTAGGCTGCACGTAGCTTTCCATTTGTGATGGCCAGGCAATAGCTGAGTTAGGCAATGCTGAAATTAGGGTTGGGTAGGCTGGACTCTATGGAGCGCTCATCCAGACATCAGCAGAGCTACAGCTGTTCCAGATACAGACAGATCGGGCTAGAAGAGAGGGAGGCTAGTGCTAGGTGTTTAGGTTAATCTAGGTATGGGCTACAACAAAGCCAGGCGACAGGAGATACCAAACCCTAGACAGCATCATCAGTAGAACAGCTCTTCAGGATTTGGGCCAATAACTTAAGGAAAGTTAAGCAACTGCCCTAGACAAGTATTGCTATCTCCAGTCTTTCACTGCCAAGTGGCAGATGCTGGTCTGGGCTGCCTTGCTGGCATCTGGTTTTCTCCTTCCAGTGACACTGAAGCAAGCACCCAGCTGAGGATACAGAGGTGCTGGCGGGAAATCAGAGCAACCATCTGACTGCTCTTTCCTTCAGCTGACTTGGCAGCAAATATTTGAGCTGGATGAGAGTCAACAGAAAGAAAAGTTATTTTCAGGTGTGTTATCTTTATCAATAATCTCTCTGAGGCACAGTAACTCCTTCGTAAGCCTGTAGTTGCTATGGCCAGGAAACACTGATTACAGTTGCAGTGGATGGTTGAAGCAGCAAAAAAAAAAAAAAACCAATGTGGCAAAAGATTGCTTTCCTTTCTGGCTTCCTTAATGAATTTATCACATA